AAATTAGTTTCCTCCGTAAGGTGGCCGGGCTCAGCCTTAGAGATAGGGTGAGGAGCTTGGAGATTCGGGAGGGACTCGGAGTAGAACCGCTGCTCCTCCGGATCGAAAGGAGCCAGTTGAGGTGGTTTGGGCATCTGGTCAGGATGCCTCCTGGACGCCTCCCCGGGGAGGTGTTTCGGGCATGTCCTGCCGGCAGGAGGCCCCCGGGTTGACCCAGGACACGCTGGAGAGGTTACCTCTCCAATCTGGTCCGGGAACGCCTTGGGGTCCTGCCGGAGGAGCTGGTGGAGAAGGCCGGGGAGAGGATGGTCTGGAGCTCCCTAGTTGGGATGCTGCCCCCGCGACCCGGACCCGGATAAGTGGAGGAAGACGAAGACAACGACAACGACGAGTATTGTGGAGCAGGTAGGTGCTCTATAGGGGAAGCTCTTCACCTGCTTTACGGCTGTTAGCTGTAATGCTATCGGTTAGCATTTGTAGTTTGCCGATCGTCAATAAAAAGCACAAGAAGTAGAAAAAGAAGTTTGCTTTTTCTGTTGGCATCATGGTAAATAGCTTGTATTTGTATAGCACCTTGCTTCACAACACAATCAGTCATTCACCCATTCAGTCATGGTGGGGATGAGCTACGACGCAGCCACAGCTGGCCTGGTGCGCACTGACGGAGGCGAAGCCACTGGCATCACTGGTCCTGGAAAATCTGTGTGTGTGTGTGTGTGTGTGTGTGTGTGTGTGTGTGTGTGTGTGTGTGTGTGTGTGTGTGTGTGTGTGTGTGTGTGTGTGTGTGTGTGTGTGTGTTTGTGTGTGTTGGCTTAACCATCACAGTTATCCATACATCCATTGTCTGAACCTACTTGTCCATGTAGGGTCGCGGGGGGAGCTGGTACCTATCTCCAGCAGTCAATGGGCAATCAGGCGGGGTGCACCCTGGACAGAGTGCCAGTCCATCGCAGGGCAATCACAATAATCCTTTTGAATTAAGTAGTTTCCTGATCATAATTTATTTTTAAACAAATTAGTCACATATTCTAACATGCAAACAAAAAAACAGTCTTTAAATTAATTCTAGCGTTAGTTGCTAAGAAGTGCATTAGTGTTCGGGGATTCTGAGTATTATTACTTCCTTAATCATCAGAGAAAGGCTGGAAGCCAGGGCTTAGCTCAGGATTTTAGGGTGATTAAATGAGCAACACAAACATTTTTAACCCTTAAAATAAATATTTTTTTCTGTTGAGATTTGTGACAAAAATGACTAAATTGTTATTTTAACAGAAAACTGGAGAATTGTGCAAATGATTTTCTTTTAGGTTTGATTAAAGACAAAGTTCCTTCATTTTTTCCAGAACATCTGCAGTGGTCTCCAGTATAAAGGCATGCCATGTGGGGGTCCAATGCTCTGGCGCTCCTGTTTCAAGAAGTAAACGGGAACTGGAGCACAAGACGGCAGGATTTCTTGAAATGTGGACATCTCTCCTCTGGCTAACAGCATCATGGCTCTACCACTGACTCCATTTGCTCTGCAACGTTGATGTTTTATCTCCACAAATAACTCAAGCCTGGAGGAGTTCTGCTGTGAAAGTTACAATTGGAAACACTGGATTGGAGCACAAATGGAACACCTGTCTCGTATCTTTTAACAATAAAAGGTAAAATATTAAACACACAGTATAATGCTCTATTTTTCAGAAGTAGTTCTTTGAATTATTTAAAATGCATATAATGGGGCCAAAGGTGATTAATGCTCAGTTCCTTTAAATACAAATGAGCTAAAAGAACGTGTGTGTACTGAGCTCAAGTGGTCATGAATGGGGATTTACATCCATTTGTGTTCTAAAAGCAGCTGCACAAAATGCAGCTGCACATGATTACTGTTCCTTTTGTGCAAATGCATAATGTCCCAACGTGATCACTGAGTTATACTTAACAAAGTCAGTTATGCTAATTAGATAATATTTGAGCTTATTATTGCTTTAATTACAGTTAATGGATTAAGGATCATCGGGACATCAGAGAATAGGAGACACAAAAGTGGCTCCAGATTATGTCTCGTTTGTGGGCATCTCCACGACGACAAAGGTTTCACATGTTGTAAAAATGTTCTAAAGAGGCAAAGCAGCAAAAATCATTTGTCATGTGACAAACACTTTGAAAACGCTGCCTAAAATGAACTGGGATGGAATTTTTGACCTCAATGACGATGTGAAAGTGCAGGTTTAAAGACACGGTCTAAGGTCTGAGCCTTCACAACAGACAGAGTAGATTCTGTGTTTTTGTGCAATCCTTTCATGGTCTGTCTCTCCTACATCTTGAGACTTTATGAAAGTGCACTGCTGAGTCACTGGTGTGTAGATTTAATCTTAGAGTGTCAGAGCTTTGATGTCAGTGCTTCAGATTCACAACGAAACTCATTATTGTTTCATGGACACCATGCAACCCACGGGCACCCAAAAAGTTTTTTAGTTTTAATCAGATTACAAGGCGAAAAAGGAAAGAAGCAAAAGTTTTGGAAATCACAATATTGATATCATTTATAAAACACCCACACTTTAATTAGCTTTTCAGTGGTACTCATGGTCATCACTAGAATTAGACAGGAGTCCATAAATTATTTCTAACACAGAGGTAGACCAAAAATAAAATCATTGCCACTTAAATTAATAAAGGCTTGTTAGTTACGTTGTTTGTTTGTTTTTATGAGAAAATTTAGCAGTGATCTGGAATGAAAGGAAACCAAAAATCCCAGGTAATGACTTGTTTGAAAAACAAATGTTGTCTAAAACCATCAGAAACTCATAAAATTTTCACAACTCTAAGTGGTACCTCTTAAAAATAACTAACTTTTATAGAGACAATATTTAGTTTTTACCATCAGTCTCTGGAAATATCCACAGAAATGTTGTTTCTTTGTGTTGCTTTGTAACATATGACCATAAATATTGGGTCTTAAATACATGGAAGCAGGTCCAAATTTCTGGGCGACGCTATTGTAGATGTCATGTTTCCTTCTAAGGAACGCCATGAGGACAAAACACATTTACTGATTTGTAACAGTTACAAAACTTTCGACATTCCTAAACTTGTTTTACACGTTGACCTCTTCAATCGTTGCCGGTGATGAAAGGGAGTCTGATGTGCCTGTCGTTTTGCTGGAGGTTGCGCTCCCAGGGATTTTTTTACCCTGACATCTATCTGTTGATAAGGTCTTACTCAAACTCAAAAATACTGCTTGCTTGCAGGAATTTGGGTATGTACTGCCCCCCATCGCCATGGAAAATACACATTGTCACTTTAAAGGTGAACAAACGGGAACTGTGCTAAACGATGAATCAAAGAATCAAGCAATTATTAGAGAGATGAAAATGGTTTTAGAACTTTAAAGACCTGATTCATTTTCAGTAAATCTGCTCTTTTCTAGTAGGGATGAATGCCTCATGAGTCATTTTATGTGGAGAAAAAGCTCTGGTGCTCCAAGAAGTTTGTTTGGAGAAGTGTGTGTGTGTGTGTGGGGGGGGGGGGGGGGGGGGGGACGATTAAGAAGTCTTACTTATTAACATTCATGAAATGCAAACGTCTTACTCCTGATTGACTAACAAAGGTTCAACTCTTCAGCTGCCTTTGCCTCTGCAACGGTGATATTTTATCTCCACAAATAACACAAGCTTGGATGCGTTTTTCCATGTTGTGGAGTTGCTAGCCTCTACCAGACAAGACACACTCTGCTCTCTCCTGGTCACTAAAGCAGGTGTACACTGTTCAACTTTTACAGTCGTATTTAGCTCCATCTCAAACTGTACGACTTCCTCTCAGAGCACAGCTTATGAGTCACGTTGTCACACTGTACGACCCAAAGCTTGAATTGAAAAACACAGCATGCAGGTGGCTTGTTGATGCCACAATTCTAACCTGAAAATGTGCTGAATATAGTCATTTTACACCACACGTCAAAACTTTAATTTAGAAAACTCAGAAGACTAGGACACTCTTGTGATGTTATTGGTGCCTGTTGTCCTTCAGGCTTGCCGTAGTTGTAGGACACACAGAGGTTTATACGGGTGGGAGGAGGACGACGACTGAAAGGCTTTTTGTGGATCTTTTCTTTTTCACACAAACACAACAAACATGCTTTCTTAGCAGTCTTTGCAATAGTGCACGGAGAAAAGCGTAGAAATAAAAATACTAGACATGTATGGACACAGAAACGGCTGGGCAGCCGTGTAGGCCCATGCATTGTGTTAGTGCTTCTGGTACGTTTGGATCACAGTACTGCTTCAACAGTGCAATACCCTCCTGTGGGATGAGCAGAATATGGATGAGCTAGTTGTGAGGTGTTCCCCGTATACTTCACGACACACAACTCGCCCTTAACTCGAAGAAGCCATGAGTACAAATTTTCCCTGTCTGACCTAATCATTTTTCCTTCCATTTCTTTTCTGTGGCTAACACAGACGATAGCGGTTGTAGAAAATGTTCACATTCAGCGTCCAACTGACCTTATTTCAAAAAGATTTTCTTTTTGACCTGGAAACAAAATCTGTTTAGCATTTTCATCTATTTTCAAGAACTAATGTGTGCATTTCTCCTTTAAGGTTCTGGAAGCCCAAAGTCGTCTTGCTTCATATTTTTACTTTTCTTTTACTTTTGTACAGCTAAGCTGCTCTGTAGGAAGGCGATACTCATGTTCCTAATCTTACATTGTCAAACAAATAATCACATTTTACAGAAACACATAAATAGCTCTTTGTGTTCATCACATCAGACTCATTTTAATCTAAACAAATCTGCAACGCAGGAAGTGATTCAGAGATTTGGGACATGACTAAGCTATATTTTGAGTGAGGATTCGGAGACAAAAACTGGAAGGTAGAAAGATTAGCGGATTGTTTACTGTTGTGTTTTACGAACGGAAATGATGATAAAAAATATCCGGTTTTATCTCCAGAGAATAGAAAATATTACTGTAAAGAACTAAATGATGCTGGAGGTGGATCTGCTGCTCTCACCTTCTTGAGCCGTCCAGTTCTGGTGCCCAGGAAGATCACGCTGTGCCCGTTGTAGATGTAGGAAGTGACCGAGGTCAGCCTGTCTCTTCGCTCTGTGAAGACTGTCCGACCTGACACCAGCTGGGAGCCCCCCAGGGGTTGGTTTATATCCAGGCCACAGAAATGGTCATCAATTGGAACGGGCTGTGCGAAGAAAGGCCAAACATGAGGGTTAGGAAAACATGGAAAACAAAGAAGGGTGTGTTTTAGGGAAAACGAGAGGAATGGAGGTGAAACAAGGGAGGGAAAAGGAAGATATGGGGGAGAAGAGGTAAGTAGATGTAGAGTGAATGATAAAAGTGGAGGACTGGGATCAGCATAGACACTTGTGAATATTAGATGGGAATTCAGACTGACTTATGGTAAGCCTGAGAAGCATTAAGTGCGCAGCTTTTAGGGGTTAAAACATTACATCAAAAGATTTGGGGCTGCCGGGCTTCACAGTGAGTCTGCGAGGGAAGCAGGTTCATGGAGCAGGTTTAACTGCTTGTGGCAACCACCAGTGGTGTGTATTTTCTGCCCATTTCTGTGATATTTCAGATTGCTTGATCTGACATCACACAAACACACTACAGAAGATGTCAGGCTTTGGTTAGGCATCAAAGAAAGTTTGCACTCATAGCTGTCCAATTGGATCTACTTGCATGCACCTCAAACATTTTGCTAATTGCCTGTCACTTGGAATATAAAGACACCTCTTTTTAGTCCTGATGATTTCTTATTTCACATCTCCTGCGTCTTATGCTCATGTCGGCCCTTACTGAGCATTTCTATCATCAAACGATGCGCCGGAGCTTTACTGAATGTGATCCGTGATGTGAACTTAGCATAAATAAACTGGATGTTTTTTACCCCTTCAAACGCTTTCCCTCCTGACCACCAATTTTGTTAATGAAAAAAATAAATGCATTTTTTAAAGTGCTCAGATATTCATCAAGAGAATCTTTTGATCCTAAATACTGCACATGTAAATATTTGTCAAATTCTTGAAATGAGCATGAGCTACCACATATAATCTAATATTACCAGTTTCTCCACTGGGTTCCAGTTAACACTTTCATGTTCCCCAAAAGAGACGATGCCCACAGCAAGGGCTGTGCAGTAAATTGGCAAAATTGAGAAAAGGACACACACCAAAGAAATAAAAACTAAGTCGGAATCGATTGTTTCGTTAGTTCTTGACTTTTGGATTTTTAAATGTTACGTTGATTATGCACAACTGTTGGTTTTATTCTCAATTTAATTAAAGCAAAACATGTAATGTTTTCATATTCATCCTGTTGAGTTAAAAACTAACTTTTCTGTTTATATTCAACCCCAAAATAGCTTGAAATAAGTAAAAATCAGTCATTTAAAATCAAAACTATTATTGGCTAATAGAAAAAGTTAAAAAGCCTTTATTGTAATGGCTAGGTCACATGTGGCCTTTTAAAAACTCCAACGCGTTTCGACGAGTGTACCCTTCGTCAGGGAGCCAAACAGTTCTCAGCAGGAAGGAGAAGTTCTTAACCAAGACAAACACCAATCAGAAAGCTCCGCATAGCAGATGTGTTAGACAGGTGACAAGTGTCAACAATCACCAGCAGGTGTAATCCTTACTGAATTGAAAGAAACAGACGTAGTAAATAAAATACAGCAAATATCATACATTATAAGGATGACATCTGCAGGATCGTTTACTAGGTAACTGATTGTGTCTCTAAAGAAATACTCAGCAGAACCTGGCAAATTATTTTAAATGTCATATTTAGTAACAAAACCCTTTGGTTAGTGGCACAGCGAGAATGAATGATCTAATTTTTATGTTTCACTTTACTACTTCAGTTTCCTTTAGGAATAACATGTCTTATTTGAACAGCTGCTCGGTGGCATCAAAGTACACATTTAGAATCATTAGAGCAATTTATGTGATAGATTTTGTTTTGAGTTTTTTCTTTTTTTCAACTTCTTTCCATGAGAGCCACTCGTTATGCAAAATTATAGCTTTCACAAAGGCACAGACTTGGACATTTACAAGAAAGCCCTTTTCTCGAGATCAAGAACAGGTCTCAGAGGGTTGAAGTACTGCTGACAGCGACAAGAGCGAGAAGCCGGGGAAAATGGGAGAGAAAGAGGTAAAGAAGGAGGTGGGAATCAGTTCCCAAACCTCTGAATGAAATCAAAGCTCTATACAAAACTCCCTGATTAGCATTGTGGAATTAATCTCCCTCGGCTCTCCTGTTAAAATAGGACCCCAGACCTGAATGTGTTCTTTAGCCAGGCCTGGGCTGCCTGCCTATTTGCTGTTAAAGTTGCAATCACAGTAATGGGATAATCAAATTGCCAGCTTTTGTGAAATTTGTAGCAATGCTCATCAGTGCTCTGTTATCACAGCTGGCCCTAGTGTGTGTGGTAGGAGTTGGTGTGTCCACCTACCGCCTTGGTGCACTGCACGTCCTTTCCCAGCAACCAGTGTAGCTCCAGGTTCCCCTCTCCTTGGTAGCAGGACTGCAGCCGCTCCTTAATGCGGGTGTTGATGTCTTGGATTGTAAAGATGCAAAGCGCAGAGTGATCTGAAGGGTCGTGGTACTGCTTTTGTCCTTTGGAGAACACGGCAAAGAGCACATCCTCCTGAGCACTGATGTTGAGTGACTTCGCCAGCACCCTACCGGCCTTGGACAGGTGAGCCGCCTGCAGCAGACGGTACTCCTCGCCTTTGTGTATACACCCCATGGGAAGTGAAACATACGAATGGAACTTCTTGTCACCTTTACAGAGGCGGATGATGCGAGATGTGTAGAACAGATCCCCAGGGGAACCACCTGCAGGCATCCCATTCTCCGGAGTCTCTGGCTGGACGGTCATGAAGTAGACGAAGCTTCCGCTGGAGAATCCGTAGATATAATAGATGTCAAAGTGTGGAACGAGAGCCAGCGTGTCAGATGGAATTTTGATCAGGGATGAAACAAAATCTGTGTGAAGCTCATAGTCCAGCATGGCAGAAGATTCTGGGTCACGAGGGAGCTTACGACTGGAGATGGTTGGAAAGTAATCCTGTTTGCCGCCAACGGCAGTGCCGATGTACAGAGTAGCATCCTGACCCTGGGAGGGAACAACGACCCCGTACATTGTCCCTGTCTGGTTGTCGCTGGACAGGTAGTGTTCTTTCTTATGTGTGGGTTCCACGAGGATGAATAAGTCATCAAGCCTCATCAGCTTACAGATGCCCTGATAGAGGCTGCCACAGGCCAGCAGCCGATTGTGGGAGTAGTCGATGAGCAACAGTTTGTTAACGTTGTCGGTAGAGGCCAAAGGCTCGGAGCACGGCTGGACGATCAGTGGAGGATAGCACGCTTTGTTGTCGTACTCCGGCCCGGTGTCATGAGACACCAGGAGGGTGAGATTAGCAGACAACCTGTAGATTCTGTTAACGGCTCCGACGTACAGAGCCCCGGTGGACTGATGCACAGTGAGATGGTTCAACGACCACTCCCTCCTCTCAGACTGGAAGGTGTTCATAGTCTGTCCCAGAGCCGTCTTCGGATTCACAGGGATTAGAGTAAATAGCCACAGGGCCAGGGGCCATGACATGACCTTTAGAGGGCGGTGACCTTTAGGGAGACAGCGGTAAGTCCATCCTTTATTAGAGCATGTCCCCATCCCAACACAACTCCAAGAAAGCCAAACTCAGAGGAACGGGGGGATTGCGTGGCAGCAATGAAGATGGCTGTGGTGAAAAGATGAGCTAAAAAGTGTTTCTCCCTCTTTAACAGATCTTCATATCATTCTGAAAAAGAGAAAAACAGAAATGTGCTTTAAAATGAAAATAATGGATTCTTTCAAGAGTGAAAAGCTGCTTTGAAAGTATTATTAGGCACTTCATCTAAAGAGCTGAAAATGTGTTTTCTCCTTCATCTACGCTTAGTCACCGAAAAACATAAAACAAATAATCATACGTCGTGTCTTCTAACTGGAGAGAGGAGCAACTGTTCCCTCGTTCAGTAAGAGAGCTCATTATATGCGCCACATTGTGGCGGAAAGCTAACCATCCTGCCGCTTGAACAAAGCACCAACACAAAGCTGTGCCTTCCTTCGGTTTGGGTGGCTAATTGAATGATCTAAATGCATTATGAATGCATTCGTATTTTGGGCTCTGTGTTTTCCCTTCTCCCCTCTGCCTTGTTCTTTTAAACGGTTGAATCCAGGAGGAATTAATCACTTTCCACTGCGGCCGATTCCTAAATTAATCAGTCTTTTTTTTTCCAGTGATGGCAGGGAGTCATTAGAGATTCAGAGCCTGGAAGCTCCAGCCCTCACACACTTTCCTGGTTAATTTTATTAGCATATTTAATGCGGGGCTTTCTATAGGACAAGTAACATCCAACAAGCACGTGACTGACCACAGGATGGATTAGTTACACACATGAATCTTTGACGGGTCTAAACATTTTACACTCTTTTGTTTCTTTGTTGTTTTTACTATTTAGCCCGATTAAGATGCTTCTGCTGAACAGAGACGAAAAGCACAACCCTCTTCACTTAGATTCCAGCCAAACGTTAGAAGGCTTCACCACAAACCCAAATGTCCTTTTTGGCTGGCGCTATCACAAACAGGGGGTTGTCTCAATGAGACTTCATGGTATAAGCAAAGGTTAAATGAAGACAGCCATGTCAGCACCTAATACGGGGGTCGTGATGCAGCGGGTCCTCTCCATTAGCTGGCTAACAGGACGTCCAGCTGAGTTGAGCCAGAGCCAGGAAACGAGCAGCTGAACTGATACTAAGCCGACTGAAGCGCCGCTCCAGCATCTTCTGTCCATCTGTCCTCACCACACTAACAGGGGCACAAGTCACTCAAGTGTCTCGACCTTCTCTGCTCAATTTAGCTGTTAGCATGAGCAGCTCCACCGGTAATTGCCCGCCAGAGAGTCACACCAGTTTGTTTTATCTTTTTTAGACGACCTTCACGTGGATCTAACACAATCAGTTTGACACAATTTTTTTCTGCCTGATTTGAACTTTAAAATGACAGGGGTGTATTTTGTGTGCTTAAAGGGAACATATCATGTAAAACTCACCCTTAGCATCATTTTGTGCTGCCGTGTGGGTCTCTGCTGCCTCTATAAACACTCCAAATGTGGGAAAACAAACCTGTCCTGTCATTTTCTGTTAGTGTTTGGTTTTAGGAATGATGTGCCTAGAACAAGCCCATTCAAAATGTCCATTTGTGATGTCACAAAAGGTAAAATACAAGGCAGAGTTGCAGCTGGGGGAGCAGTGGCTCTACTCCCAGCCCCTCCGAGATATTGGAACTTCCCAGCCTATAGCAGCTTGAGTGGGGACTTATTCTGGAAGGTATTTAGTGCAAAGAACTTCATGAACAGGTTTTTATTGATCAGAGAACGATCATGGCTTAAAGTCTAAATATGTCCCCTTTAATCTTTTTTTCTGACTAGAAAAACACACAAAAAAGGATGTTTGTCTCCAGAAAACCCAGAAAAATACTCTCAAATCTTTATCTTTTAAAGGTGAAGAGTCCCTGAACCTGTGTCTGTGTTCATTTATTTTTCAGATGAAATTGTTTTTGCTGCTTTTTTTTGTTGACAAAAGCAGCTGCAATATGCATGCATGCAAATGGCTACTTGTAAAGTATACAAATATTTAAATTTTCTGTATTTTCATTAGGCTAAAAGCCTAAACCTGTTATCACTTCAAACTTTTCTAATTATTGTTCTAAAAAACACTTCAGCTATTTTTCTTTGATGCCGTAGATAAAGAGATGCACTACAAAGTGGTTTCGGATTGGACTGGATTAAGTCATAAAAATCAGTCTGAACCTTTTGTGCCTGCGGCTGGGCCACCAGAAAAAGCAGCAGAAATGTGTTTTTGTGCTTCCTAACTGAACCCATATTTGGTCTGTGTTTGAAATGTTTTGCATTCGAGTCAAAGCAGCAACCAGAAACGAAGACTTGCAGATAAGTTTGCCTTGTGCCCTTATGCAGACTTTGAGCTCTTTCTCGTTCTTATCTAGGGGGAGGAAAAGCCATCCTCTGGAGATTTAACTGTAAATAGCAAACCAAATGATATTTGCAGAGCTATATTTGAGTTGGGCATGACCTTAAACAATGGACACCAGCCATGCCACCCAGAGGTTAATTCAGTGTTGAGAATTTACGTCTCAAATCCTCAAAGGTGTTACAAAACATGAGGAAACAGGTGCAGAAGTGGGCAGGCATGCAGGCAAGCAGCAGCCTCATCATTTCATCCATTTCTGCTCTGCCGGCTTTAGTCACATCTAAAGCGTGCAGTCATGCTGCTCAGTGTTTACCCTGGATTATGGAGACAGCTCTTCGCCCTGCACAGTCCTCCCCGCTGAATTCTCCGCCTCACCACTCTCAGACACGCTCCAGCCCAGACGTGACTCATTCACACACACACACTCACACACACACACACACACACACACACACACACACACACACACACACACACACACACACACACACACACACACACACACACACACACATCCACAGGGACACGGTTTGCCAGGCCCTCTAGAGACACGAACTCTCAGTAGGCTCCAATCACAAAGCAAAGCAAAGCAGGGAGAAGCCGGCCTCTCGTTCACCATAAACATAACCCTTTGACCTGGATCAAGATCAGTGGAGTCAAATCCGTCACTTAGATCAGCTTTTATTGTGGTGAAATCCTGTCGCAGCTTCTGCAGCACCATGTTTTTCATGGGAGTAAAGGGGCGGTTGCTTGTTTTTTTTTTTTTTTTTTTTTTGACCATTCTGCCAGTAGGAATAAAAATGTGCAAATTTGCCATTTGCCCATCTGCACTGATTTCACAACTGTATTTTAGGTTTGGCTGCACTTAATGAAAAACAACAAAATGTAGTTACACGTGAAACTCGGAAAAATTGAAACATGTTGCAAAAGTTCGTTTATGTCAGTATGTCAACTTGAGGTGGAGTCAGTAGATGCAAAGCCAGATATTTCAAGCCTTTATTTGATATAATTATGATGATTATGGCTGACAGCTGATGAAAACTCCAAAGTCAAAATCTCAATTGGATCCAACCCAATCCACCTTTATTTGTATAGCACTTTATACACAGCACTGTCGACCAAAGTGCTTCACACACAGATCAAAACATACCGACATAATTAAAAACATGGATAATATATCAAAACATACAAAAACATTGTAAAAGAAATAAAAGGCAACGCTGCTTAAAGACAGGAGTGGATAAGAATAATCAGTCAATGTTAAAAATTAGTGAATAATAGTGAGTCTTGAGGAGCAACTTAAAAACGGCCAGAGAAGTTGCCTTTAGAGTATAAAGGTTCAATATTTAGGGCTCAAAGTGTCACAATCTAATGAGATAATGAATCCAGAATACCTGCAAAGGGTTCCTGGGCCTTTAGATGGTCTCTGTCTACGTAGAATTACTAAAATTACTGAGTTTTGCACAAAATTTAAATTTTTGGGAGTTTCATTTGTATATAAAATAAGGAACTTAGCTTCTAACTTCTACAGTGTGTGAATGTGTGTGTGTATGGATGAATGACACACTGTAGTGTAAAGCGCTTTGGAGTCCTCTGACTCTGAAAGGTGTTATACAAGTGTGGGTCATTTGTCATAGAATAGAATAGAATAGAACAGCTTTATTGTCTGACACCAAACAGTTACAGAAATGTGTCTTTCAACAGGGCTCATCATTATCCACCTCATCATTCACACTTTCATAGAACAGTAAATGCAATAAAATTGTAGGGTTTGGCAAATGGAGTGCTTTAAGAGCTCAAGATATATTTTACCTCTACTTATGACCAATAAGCTGTGATTCTCTATCTAAATATAGAATATCAACCTTGCTTGTGTGTTTATCAGAAGATTCCAGGATTCTTTATTTATTAAGGGATTGTACACACTTCGTTTTGATTCAGAAAAGAGTCAGGTTTATAAAAGTAAGAATTTATTTTACAAACAATTAAAACATGACAGGTTAACTAAGCATTTACTGTGATGGATGGATCTAAATGTGATGTATGAACCTATGTGTCAATGCGATGTTAGTCAGAACTTCCTTTTCTAGGAGAGCTGAGTTCTGGATGTAAAAGAATTTGGTTTGTGTTAAGCTATGAAGGTGGTTGTTATCAAAACACATCAAACGCAATCTGCCATGTCTACATACCCACTCGAAGACCATCGTGATAGATCCGGAATGTCAAAGTCCTCGGACTTCCAGGCACCAAGGTCCGTAGAAGAAACTGCGGCACAACTAGACCGGTCTTAGAGTTGTCTCCAGGTCACAACAGACGGCTGGAGTCTGGGACTCTTAAGGAGTCTAAACAATATCAGCTTGTTCAGAAGGAACTCTGCGGTATCAGCATCGCAGGTGCGAAAAGGTTTTGATGATGTGTCAAAAGCTTTGATGGTTAAAGAGGGTTTTGCTTCAGGTGGCCGGTCTGAAACTTTCTCTAGAACTGAGAGATCACCCGAGAGTGATCCAGTTTTGATGTTGACATGTTATGATTTGTGTAGCCAACCAAAGGTTGACAAGTTTGAGAAATATTACCAAGACAACTCAGAAACACACCTTCTTTGATACGGAGGCTCTGACTGGGGTAAAAGACTATTAATGTCAGAGTTTAACGTAACCTTATTTTGTTCTTGTGTGAGTGCAAATGGTTATGACCTTGTCATGTCAATGTGCTGAAACATATGATATAACCATAACCATGACATTCATTTAACGCTTAAGTCATTGAGCAGTG